GGACTCTGCAGTTTACACTCATCTACAGGCCAGGACTCTGCAGTTTACACTCATCTACAGGCCAGGACTCTGCAGTTTACACTCATCTACAGGCCAGCGGTCACTCTTTCAGAGATGAAGATGTCAGTCTTGATAGAGAGGAACGTTGGTTTGAGAGAGGAGTAAAGGAAGCCGTTTTTGTGAAAAAACGAAAAACCGTCCACCGTTAAACAGGTGGAGGTTTTCATGTCCAGTTGTCCCCCTCATAGAATGCTGTTATTGCAAGTATGACTCCGCCCCCCTGTGAACAAAAAGTGATGATCAGGCCCTAACGATGTGGTGATGGAGCAGATGACCATCTATGAACTGTAGGTGGATGATCAGGGCACAAAGTAACATATTGTTAGGCTGAGGCTCCTCTTTTGCATGTGACCAAACTGTGTGTGTGTGTGTGTGTGTGTGTGTGTGTGTGTGTGTGTGTGTGTGTGTGTGTGTGTACTTCAGCTTAGGTTTTTGCAGTGTTCAATAAAGTACCACAAAGTGATACTTGAGTAAAAGTACAAGTACTGTAAATTAAGCCCAAACATTTTCCCCAAAATGAAAATCTATCTGAGGGCTGCGGTCAAATGTAATAATATAATTCATGAAATACAAATACTTCTTAAGTACAGTCCTTTTATTTTAGTGATTATGTCCTGCTGGAGTGTGACATTTGTTTGTGTACAAACTAATACGGCACCAGAATTATATGTATTTATACTTATTCAGCTACAATTAAATTCACTCTATTTAGGAGGCACAGTTTATATGGATAGTATTTATTTTTTACAATAACAAGCTGGAATGAAAACAAGCAAAAATGAAATAACGACTTTCTACTTCTTGCTTTTTTTTAATGTAAGGAGTAGAAAGTACAGATAATTGTGTGAAAATGTAATAAGTAGAAGTAAAAAGTAGGCTGAAAAATAATTACTCAAGTAAAGTACAGATACCCAAAAATTCTACTCAAGTGCAGTAACAAAGTATTTGTACTTGGTTACTTTACAACTCTGTATTTTTGTGTAACTTGTTTCCACATTGGGCCCTCTCTGCAGTGCACCAGTTGAGCCTGTAGGGGGCGCCGGTGTGTCTGAGCGCTGCTGAGCAGGATGAAGAAGAAGAGTGAACCTCTGGTAGCTCCGCCCTCTGCACCGACTGGGGCATCTGAAAAATAAAACTCACATCATACCGAGCATTTATTAACGCGATTATATTTAGTCTACGATGAGCGGGATACCAGGCACTGCCGTGGTTCAGGTCACCAACCTGTCGTCGGCCGTTAGCAGCGAGCAGATGCGCACTCTGTTCGGCTTCCTGGGAGACATCGAGGAGCTGCGTCTCTACCCCCCAGAGTAAGAGCATCTCTCCCGGCTTCGGGCAGCCAGGCAACACCGCGGACCTGCGGCCTTGTCAATGTACATTTGAACTAAGCACTGATTTAACAGCTGAATAATCTCTTCTTCTTCTTTCTGTTCTCCTCCTCACAGCAACACATCTCTGTCTTTCTCGTCCAAAGTGTGTTACATAAAGTACCGAGAGCCTTCAAGTGTTGGTGTGGCGCAGCATCTCACCAACACTGTTTTTATTGACAGAGCTCTGATTGTAGTCCCATGTGCTGAAGGTGAGTGTTTAAACAAATAAAAAACACTGTCTCAGATTATATTCTGTCCACGTCTTCCTCGGGATTTATTTCCTGGGTGTCACAGTTTGAGTTGTTGGGCTGTTTTTATGCTCAGGGGATTATTTAGGGTGTTTTTCCCTCATATACTGTACATTTGATCCCAGGTGATGGGTTATATTAGTTCTGACAGCACCCAGTCCAGGTTTCTCTTGTTTTCACAAGGTGGTTCTGACTGATATTAGTCTGAAGGAGAAGCAGCCCCACTAGAAAGAAGTAACTTAAATATCTATAATTATCACAAATCAAATTCATTGCAGCATAGTTAACTCAGTCCTTTCTCTCTTTCATTCTTTTATTTTTGTTTGTTTTTGGTGCTCCCATTTTTAAAAACCTCCCTCCCACTGTGTGCACTCACATTGATATCACCTCTAACCTGATGCATTGTGTCCACGTGACTTGGTGCTGGATGGCTACTGAGTTTATTAATTTGGTTTTGTATGTTTTTTTCTGTGTGATTATGTGTGCATATCAGATGACTAGACTGGCCCAGCTGTTACACTACACTAGCCTGAGTCAGGCATTGTTTTCCAAGCCACTATCCCCGATCGGGCCAACGCAGCCTTCAAGGGGGGGATGTGACCCGGAGAATAGCCCGCTGAGCCTTCCAAGATGGACACCTTGTCTCTTTATTTGTTTATTTTTTATTTATTTTTTTAGTTTGTTTCCTTTCATACTATCCCATGTTGTCCACTTTCTACTACTGTCTCTATCTAGAAACTGCAGGTTTGCTTATCTCTAGCGTTGTGTTTATATTTGTTATTTTTTGTTTGTTATTTTGATTAATGTCCAACCCCTACCCCCCTCTCTCTTTCTGCTACAGCGGCGGCTTGTGTGTGATTGAGTTCTGTCCAGGTTGCTACGGCATGTCGGTGGGATGTATGTCACACATGAGATGCTAGGAGGATCATTAACCCTTTTTTTGTTTGTTTCTTTATTTGTTTGTTTGTTTGCACCAGTTGATGACGTAAAGGGCTAGTCTGGTTGTCACAATTAGTCCAAACGATTGAGCATAAAATCTTTTGAAATACACGTGCACCTATATTTTGAGACTCTAGAACAGGGGTTCTTAACCTTTTTGACCTCTGGGCCCAATTTGTTCAAAATAAAGTGACACGAGACCCAGTCACACATTACCATATGAATCAAAATGATAATTATTCTAAATCTTGGTTTAATTTGTATTTGCATTATAACGAAATATGCTGCATTCACACCAAATGCGATTTCAGCTTCAAAATCGCAGCCAATGCTTCAAGTTGGTCGCTTGTAGGGGTGTAAGAAAATATCGATACACTGAAATTTTGCGATATTTCATGTCCCGATACTGTATCGATATTCTAAAGCCCTGTATCGATTTTTTATTAAGGTTTAAAATGTCAGCCTTCTTGCCAACTGTTCATTTTTATGTTGTAGTTCAGTCTCTGACCACTAGTTGGCAGCAGTGAGTCAGCCATTTGGCTCCTCTACCTCTTGAGCGCCAGAGAGTAAGGGTAGCATTAGCATTGTAAGTAAACATTAGCTTTTCTTTTTTATCAGTAAGAGGTTTTTATTTAATAGAATTTTTGGACAGTATATCGCAATATATTGCCTTGTTTACTGTATCGCAATATATCGGGATATATCGTATTGTGACCCCTGTGTTATGATATGTATCGTATCGCCAAATTCTTGCCAATACACAGCCCTAGTCGCTTGTGCACTTTGAGGTCAGACGCAGGTCAGCTCTTGAAGCGCTGCACGGCAAGAGCCTCCCCGCCCCTCCCTCCTCTGTCGGGCTCTGTTTAATGTCAGACTGGAAGTGGCTTTGCTTTATTTACAGAGAGCAAGAGCATGTCACGTTCATCAGATAATTAATTCATAATTAATTCACCAGATAATTCAGAGACATTCTGAGTTTCATCACCCAGGAGCTGCAGGAGAGGCTCACAGCTCGCTTTCAGGACTATTTTTGTCCCGAGTCCAGTCTGATGAGCTGCTGTCACACATTGGTGCAGATATCTCCTGTCAGGACACCGACTGCAGGCACTCGATTTCAGCTAAAGAGCTCCTCTCCATCTGTTTCAGGTTAGTGGACATCATTCAGTAAACTGTCCTGTTGGGAAATATGTCGCTACGTCACACAGTGGAGTCTCTCTGATTGGTTGATGCGGCACGTCGAGCTGCAAAATTTCAGATTTTCTAACTTCAGCGATTTGCGCCTCAGCGCGTCGAACGCTCAGATCGTTCAAATCGCGCTGCTCTAATTGCGCTGCTCTAATCGCGCTTGAGGCGCCGCAGCACTTCCCGACGCTGATTGAAGCGCGTCCACCATAGACTTTGTACGTAAACCTGCTGCTCCTGATGCTGAAATCACGTTTGGTGTGAACGCACCATCAGGCTTATCAACACAAAAATAACACATTCATCCATTTTCTGTACACGCTTTTTCCTGTCAGGGTCATGTGGGTCACTGGTGCCCATATCCAGCAGTCAGAGTGCGAGGGGCGGGGTACACCTAGGACAGGTCGCATATCCATCACAGACAAAAATAACATTTTTAACATAAACAGCAACAAAAATAGACAATTCAATAAATAAAATTGTGATCATAAAATAAATACATTCAAAAATATTTAATGTAAATGTTCCAAATAAAAAAACTAGAAATAAATTTGATAAAATGCAAATGAAAATAAAGCCTTTTTAATATTTTGCATGGTAGAACCAGAAGCTGCTTTTTATGTTAGTGACAATAACTAACAGCTTTTTTTGACAAAATGCTTAAAAATAAATTACAAAAATTAATTTAAAGTGCAAATTAAAATATAGTTGTATCTGCAACTGTATTTGATAATGTTTCGACTTTTAAAATATTACATGGTAAAAACAGAAGCTGCTCTTCATATTAGTGACAAACTTTGGTGTTTTTTGATGAGTTACTTTCATATTTGCTTCTACTTTTCATTTAAAATAAGTTTCCATTCTCGGCAGGTTTCTAAGGTTCTTCTTCTACATATTAAAAAGTTGTTAAACATCTGAGTGGTGCACTACTGCTACTAGTGGTGAGAACGTGTATTGCACCTTATTCAAAATCAATGCGTTCCCACGGCCCAAAGTTAAAACCTGTTGTTCTTTTGAGGCCCTGAAGGTGGCGCTCGTGGCCCAGCGGGTTAAGAATCTCTGCTCTAGAAGAACATTTAGCACTTTGAGCCTTTCAGTACCGCTCTGATGTGGATGTTTACTGTTTAGTAATAACACAGAACTGATCAGTGTAGCATCCTTTCCTCATCTTAACACATGCATTAATGCTTTGCATTCATTATGCTTTATTTTAAAAAGATGGTTCTTTGCGCCATTTCTGTTGCACAAATGAAAACTGATGCTAAATCCCTGCAGCTGTACTCAGATTTGTAACCTTTTTTGTTTCAACATTTTTCCCGCCAAAAAGGAGAGATTATATTTGAGAGGAATGAATCAAAATTTCTAATTGGTTGTTTATTTGATTTTTGAACTTAGCTGAGTTTTAGCTAACATTTCCAAAGTTCTTAAATTTGTTGTTCTTTTCTGTATCTGATGTTCTGTGTGCTATTAGTGATGCAGCCATTGGGGTTGTCTTGTGTTGCACACCTTTCCAACACTGCGAAACGATCGCCCCCCACGGAAAAGCGCCCATGCTTGATATCGTATGGTTCATGACCAATATGTTTCCAGTACAGGTGACCCATACATCAAAGTGTTGACTCATTCTCTGCTCTGTTTCTTTTTCTTCTTTAAAAAAAAAAAAAAACCTGTGAAAAGAGAACAACATAATCAAAGTTTAGATTCTTTGCACTTCATGTTAATAATACATATTTACTGAGAAGAATGATTTAATAAAAGGATGCTCGGTCTCCAGTATGAGTAGAACACGTAGGCTGTATGGGGAAGTGTCTGCTCTCTTTTTCTCTAGAATACAGTGGGCTAATTGTGCAGACATAGAGGAGACAGAGGGAAGAGTGCCTCCTTTGCCTTCGTTAATATTTGTTTTGTCCTGCAGGGAAAATTCCCGAGGAGTCCAAGGCTCTGTCTCTGCTGGCCCCTGCCGCCCCGGTGCCCAGTCTGATTCCTGGAGGAGGATTGCTGCCAATTCCTACTCCTGCTCCGCTTCAGAATGTGAGCCTCTGTTGTTGTTGTTTTGTAGAGCTCGTGTCCGCGGTCGCACAAACCAACCCGACCTGTGTGTGTTTCCCACCTACAGCTGAACCTGCCATTGGTGAACCGTATTACTGCTAGTTTCGATGCTGCGGCGTCTGTGCTCTCCCAGCCGCCACTTATTGGAAATGTTGATCCTTCAAAGCTCAATGAGATCAGGAGGACAGTTTACGTTGGCAACTTGAACTCACAGGTAAAGTTAAATTTGGTTTTATTATAATTAAAGGTGTGGTTCTTTTTACTGCTTGACATGGTTTCTGTGGAGCTTTAAATGTATTTAGTCAATAAAAAGCATTGAATTTAGGACCTGGTCAATGACCTGAATAGAGCTGGGACCACAGTCTCAAAGAAAACAATCAGTAACACTCTACGCCGTCAAGGATTAAAATCCTGCAGTGCACGCAAGGTGCCCTTCCTRAAGCCAACGCATGTCAAAGCCTGTCTGATGTTTGCAAATGACCATCTGAATGATCCAGAGGAGGAATGGGAGAAGGTCATGTGGTTTGATGAGACAAAAATAGAACTTTTTGGTTTAAACTCCACTCGTCATGTTTGGAGGAAGAAGAATGATGAGTACAACCCCAAGAACACCATCCCAACCATGAAACATGGCGGTGGAAACATCATTCTTTGGGGATGCTTTTCTGCAAAGGGGACAGGACGACTGCACCATATTGTGGGAAGGATGGATGGGGCCATGTATCGTGAGATTTTGGCCAACAACCTCCTTCCCTCAGTAAGAGCACTGAAGATGGGTCGTGGCTGGGTCTTCCAGCATGATAACGACCCAAAACACACAGCCAGGGCAACTAAAGAGTGGCTCCGTAGGAAACATCTTAAGGTCCTGGAGTGGCCTAGCCAGTCTGCAGACCTGAATCCAATAGAAAATCTTTGGAGGGAGCTTAAAGTCCGTGTGGCCCAGCGACAGCCCCGAAACCTGAAGGCTCTGGAGGAGATCTGTAGTGGGCCAAAATCCCTGCTGCAGTGTGTGCAAACCTGGTCAACAACTACAGCAGGGGTGTCAAACTCCAGTCCTCGAGGGCCGCTATCCTGCATGTTTTAGAGGTTTTCCAGCTCCAACACACCTGATTCAGTGATTGAATTAACTCTTCAAATTGGGCAGAAGCCTGTTAATCACCCAGCGATCAAAATCTGGTGTGTTGGAGCAAGAAAACCTCTAAAACATGCAGGATAGCGGCCCTCGAGGACAGGAGTTTGACACCCCTGAACCACAGGAAACGTCTGATCTCTGTAATTGCAAACAAAGGTTTCTGTACCAAATATTAAGTTTCATTTTTCTGGTGTATCAAATACTTATTTCACACAATAAAATGGAAATTAATTATTTAAAAATCATACATTGTATTTTTCTGGATTTTTGTTTTAGATTCCATCACTCACAGTTGAAGAGTACCTATGATAAAAATTACAGTCATCTACAAGCTTTGCAAGTGGAAAAACCTGAAAAATCAACAGTGTATCAAATACTTGTTCTCCCCACTGTATATGTATATAAACAAGCATATGTGTTTATGTATATGTGTATTGGTACATTACTATATATCACATGTGTATATTGTGGGGTTTTGTTTATCTTTTATTAATCTTTCATTATTCTTCTCAGCCTCTCTTGTATTAAGCTGCAGTAATGTGCAAATTTCCAGACTGTGGGATCAATWAAGTTTTATCTTATCTTATTTTATCTTAAAAACAGTTTTTAGTCGGTAGATAACTGTGTTGTTGCTATGAAACTACAAACATGGCCGAACGGGGTGGAGTCGAACGTTCAGAGACCTGGAGGGGGCGGGGTGTGAAATATCTCACTTGCATTTAAAGAGACCGCACCAAAACAGCTTGATCTGAGACGCAGCTCAGAACAGGGGTAAAACAAGGAGTCTGTGGAGCAACAAAAACGAGGAATTAAGACCAAAGTGTTGCAGTTTTGTTTTAAATAGACCATAAGTGAATGATTTAGACGTGAAAAAGAAGGATTTAAATTAAAGCGTGATATGATACCTTTAACAGAGACTTAAACTCATTTAGAGACCCAGCAGACCTCACAGACAGTGGGAGGTTGTTCCAGAGCCGAGGTCCTGCAGCTGAAAAGGCTCTGTCTCCCCTGGTCACAAGCCCAGACCTGGGAACAACTAAAAGCTTTTGATTTACAGATCTCAGGGATCTATCTGGAATGTGAGGCTGTAAAAGTTCAGTGAGATAATGAGGTGCCAAACCATTTAGACATTTAAAAACTAAAAACAAAATCTTAAAAACAATTCTAAAAGAAACAGGCAACCAGTGAAGAGAATACAGAATTGGAGTGATGTGTTCGCGACGTCTTGTCCCTGTTAATAAACGGGCAGCTGAAGTCTGAACCAGCTGTAGACGACGAACCAAAGACTGATCCATCCCACAATAAAGAGAGTTGCAGTAGTCCAGTCTAGAAGTGATAAAAGCATGAATAACCCTCTCAAAGGCATTATGAGGCAGGTAATCCTTGACTTTACTTATAATTCTCATAAATCTTTCTTTATAGGCGCCTTTCAAAACTCCTTAGATAACCTTACAAAAGTCAATAATAAAATCACAATAGGAGAATATACACAATAAATCGATTAACAAAATAAAATAGTGCAAGCTTAAATAATAAAAACAGTCTTAGTAAAAACTGTAAAATTAATGGTAGTACAGTACCACTAGTAGTACACCTGTGTTGCAAAACTGACACCCATCAAACGACTGAAATATGAGAACAAAATTGACTATTTATTTATTTATTTATTTATTGACAGCAAAAATGATCAATAATAATGGACCATGGTTGATATGATAAATCTTCAAATTAATTATCTTTGTAAAACATCAGAAGATCTCCAACACTTCTAAAATATCAGTAATATAATACAAAAATAAAAACAAAGACCTTTTACTAATCACTGAAAATAATGAGTTTTGCTGCTCTGGGAGGTGAAGCTAAAATATCTGTTCCCTAAAGGGTTAATGTTCAGGGGAGGGAGGGGCTAGTTCTGTGAGTGCGCTGCTGCAGCCTCGCAGGAACAGAGACGGAGGAGCTGTGTTTTATTGTGGGCCCAGCAAGTTGAAGCTGCCTCGTCCTGTTTCCTTTTCTAATGTATTGTTGAACTCTGAAGAGTTTGTAGATGACTATAACCGTGTTTCCATCAAGGCCTTTTGATGCGCATTTAGAAGTGTTGCATTAAAAATGCGGGGGAAAAAAAGTCGGATGGAAACAGCAAAATTCGGAAAAAAAAATCCTCAATTCGCTAAAAAGTTTTTACGCTCGCTTTGAGGTGGTTTTTGGATGATTCGCAAAGTAGTTAATGCGCAAAATGGGAGATGGAAACACTTTTGCCGAATAAATTCTGACGTAGCGAACTTTTACCTCACGTAGCTGATCAGCTGTTCCACGGTACCGGTACCAGTTTCAGGTCAGTGCAGCCGCGACTGGCAGCAGAACCCTCCTCCCGCTGTTTGTGTTTTCTCAGTAATCCCGTAACGTGAAGAAAATTGCATTTTTTTCTCAACGTCTCCAGACAGCAGTAACATCGCCAAAACTAGTTGATAACAGAATAATTACAACTGTCCTGATAGCAGCAACGCGTTCCTGATAACTTCTCTCCATTATCCTGAGATGTATGGATCCTGTGAGTTTAGCGATGGTTACTTCCTGTTTACCACACACATGCGTATGACGTAATTGATTCGCTTCAAGCCAGTTGATGGAAACACGTCTGATTCGCATTTCTTAATTTTTTCTTTTTTGCAAAATTATTAAAATTTCCTCAAAATTCGAATTAAAATTGGATGGAAAAACGATTTATAACTCTGTTTTTGCACATTGAGTCATTACGATACACATGCTCCGCACGTCGACGTTCACTCTGAGTAAACAAACGAAGCTGAACCTGGTTGGGAGGCATGTACAGCCTGGCTGTGGGATTTTATCGTTTTTATTGCGAGATGACAAATTATTACCATGGTGAATGTCTTTGATGGTATATCACACACACGATAACATATCACCCGTCCCTAGTGACTGCAGAGATCACGTCTCCTTCTCACTTCTTCTTTTGTAAACAGCTTTTTGATTTTTCTTAAAATATTTTATTTTTCTTCATCAGAACACGACTGCAGAGCAGCTGATGGAGTTCTTCAAGCAGGTGGGAGACGTCAAGTTTGTCCGAATGGCCGGAGACGAGACCCAGCCGACCCGCTTTGCCTTCGTAGAGTTTGTTGAGCAGGAGTCGGTTGCCAGAGCCCTGACCCTGAACGGAGTCATGTTTGGAGACAGACCTCTGAAGTAGGATCAGTTCTGCACCTCACCCCCATCAGCTGGCTAAATGAATTAAAACAATGTAATGTCCTTTAAAGCAGTGTGTGAACTCTGTCGACACCGTTTGTCTTTCAGGGTTAATCATTCCAACAACGCCATAGTAAAACCCCCGGAGCTGACGCCACAGGCTGCTGCCAAGGAGTTAGAGAGTGTGATGAAGAGGGTGAGAGAAGCTCAGTCCACCATTGCTGCTGCCATAGAACCAGGTAGGTCCTTACGCTTTGCTGCACGTTCCAGCTTGTTTTCCCTCCTGATGCTGAGGCTCCTGGTTCGACAGAAACAAAGAAGCGTTCCTCCAGTCGGTCTCGAAAGCCACGCCGGTCTCGGTCACGCTCTCGTTCACACTCAAAATCCCGCAGGAAAAGGTCCCGTTCCAAACACAGGTATCCAGCTGAGCCTCCTGATGCTGTGATCAGGATGCTGAGCAGTCACTGACGGTGCTTTCCCTCCTGTTGGCACAGACCCTCACAGAAGCTGTGGCCGGGGGGCGACGCTCACGGTTCAAGAGGCAGCCACAGGAGGCGCTCTCGCTCCAGAGACAGAAGGCACGCTCGCAGTCGCTCCAGGTATGCTGGTATCGTCCAGTGGTGGGCAGCGCTAATCCAAAAATTAGCTCCGCAATTTCTAAAGCGCTTATGCCATAGAAAAACTAGCAGAAGCTAATTTTATAGCGCAAGTTCAATTTGACACTTACTAATACGCAATAATTCATGTACAATATATACACAACACTGCCAACTAGTGGTGTGTGAAACCCTGGACAGCTTAATCCTACAATCGCTGATTGCTGGGGATGTGAGTTCCTGAAACAGACCTTTAGCTCCTGGTGTAAAAATTAAAAAGTTGTTGAGGATTGCTAGTTCGGCTTTTTCTTCGTCTTTTTCTTTTGTTTGTTGTAGATTTTTCATTAAAGAAGCATCAATAAAGTAATTTTAAAACTGTTTATTGGAAAACTGAAGCGATGCATTCTGGGTACATGACAGATTTGATTTGTGACGGCAAACGAAAGCACGGAGTACAGGAAACTATCTTCCCTTCAAAATAAGAGCTTGGATTTTAAAGTTTTCCATGTAGTTGCTCCAGTTGACCACTAGATGTCAGTCTTCACCAGCATAACATCTTTAAATCATCTCTGAGTCTCTAACCCTGTTGGCCGATTGCTTCGACCAATTACGTCAAGTATTGAGCTCCAGCGTTTAAACTTTTTTTTTTAAAAAAGGAGCTCCGATTGTAAAGTAAAATAAATCAATACATTCAAAATTTTAGTATGGATTACAAACGTTTACTGTTTTTGCTATTGCCTTCCTGCTACGTAAGCAGATATAAAGCATTGTGGGAAATGAGAAATGTGACCCAAAGCAACAGTCAGCAGGATGTATACCTTCTCAATAAGTGTGTTTGTCTGGGAGGGGTGCTGTTGGATAGATCATGTGTTGTGATTCATTGACAGCCATACCTTTGCTGTTCAAGATAATGATGACTGGTAGATAATTAGTTATTAGCGGTACTTCATTTTAATTTTAGAAAGCACAAATCCGCTTCTGAATTATAAAAATTTGTAAGACCGCTAAAGTGTAAATGAAATATTTAGGTCCACAATTAGTGGATTTGTGCTTTAGATGGCTGGTGCCCACCACTGGGAACGACCAACGTTTAAAGCAGTGTGTGCAGCTCCTGCTCATTTCAGACTGATTCTGCTTTCAAGGAAATGTTTCATCCCCCTGTCTTTCCTTTGTTTACCACCAGGGGTCACCAGATCCTTTGCTGTCAGCTGTACCTTGTTGAAGAGATGATAAAATCTTAATATTTAGTCATATCTTTAACTAATAAATTATGTACACATCAGGTTCAGTCATGATGTCTTGTAAGTATGTTTAAATGTTACTTTTTCTCATCAGAGGTCACAAAAGGAGGAGTAAGGAAAGGTCCAGAAGCCCTCGAAGAAAAGTCAGAACACCTTCACCAAAACGGTGAATTCACTCACTGTTTTAAATTTGGTCCATAAAATATGTCAATATCAGGTTTAGTGTTTGCCAGGTTGTTTTTTATGTTTTTTTCTTTGAATTCTGATTTAGAGTGAAGAAAGAGAAGAGGAGGGAGCGCAGCAGGGACAGGAAGGAACGCTCCACATCCAGGAAGAGGAGTCGCAAAGATGAAGACAGGATAAAGAGCAAATCCAAGTCCACTAAGGTTAGAAAGCTCTCAACCTGTTAAACCCAGGGTTCCTCTGGGTTTTATAACCCCAGCAGCCACCAGGCTTCACTTTACTGAACCCAGAGGATAGTTTTCTGATCCGTATCAGTGAAGTCTCCACAAACTGTGTCTGAAATGTTTAGAACCACTGTGTCAGAGTGTTTGTCCGTCCTCCAGCATGTTGTGACATTCAGCTACATGTGTGACGGTGTCACCTGCAGTGTTGTTTTTACAGCCATTTTAATTTTAATCTTAGTCCTTTGAATGAAAATACTTCTTAGTTTTAGTCAGTTTTAGTCATTTCTGTATTTAATAGTTTTAGTCCAGTTTTAGTCGACGAAAACTTAAATGGTTTTAGTCAAGTTCAAGTTTATTTATATAGCTCCAAGTCACAACATACTTTGTCTCAGAGCGCTGTACATAAAAAGAACAATCTAAAGAAGAAAGCAGCAGATTGTGTTGAATCACTTCATCACAGTCTCCCATCCTGAGCAAACGGTGGAGAGGAAAAACTCCCTGCTAATCAGGAAGAAACCTCCAGCAGAACCAGGCTCAGGACAGGAGACCATCTGCCTCGACCGGCTGGTTGGGGGACAGGAAAGAGACACAAACACAGAAGAACTGGTCCAGGACTGGTCCAGGTGCACCTTCTTCTGGTCCAGTTTTAGTCGACGGAAACTTAAAAAAAATGTTTAGTTTTAGTCTTAAAAAAACGACACATTAGTCTTTACAAATTCATTTGAGTAATGTGTGTTAACATTTGTGAATTTGTGTAATTTGTGTTACTCTTAAAATGACCAAAACAAAAACATTCTCACTTTGTGGCTTTATTCCTCAGAATTTGCTAAAGTGCAGTGAACATACAGCAATAAAGAGGAACACACATGTTCAACTCAAACTTGTTAGCAGGACGATGAAAAAGCATCTTATTTATAAAAACGGACATCATGTCGTCCTAAACTTAGTAGACTATTAAACTTGTGCAAACGAGTGTTTACATGCACCAGGCTTTTATTCTGAAAAGAAGCACTGACGTGCACAGTTGCTAACTCCCCCCAGCCAAAAAATAAATAAATAAATAAACAGAAGAGTTTTACTTTCATCATGAACGTAAACAAACAGCTTCTGAGCTCAGAATGGTGCTGCGACAGCTTTTAATGGTGGAGACGTTACTCCCTGGTTAAGCTACAGGTGACGCGACTTTTTTTCTTTTTTTGTGAAGCAGCGCAGGCTGTGAGAGAACGGGAGGAAAAGGTCTGTGCTGTTGTGCGTGTGTGTAACATCGCTGCTGTCCCTCCCTACGCTCTGCATTCTAAATGATTGACAGACCACCGACTAACATTTTCGTCCAGTCTCGTCTCGTCAACGAAAACTCACACAATTTTCGTCACGTCTTAGTCATCAAAGAGCTGTGTTTATTTCATCACCGTCTCTAAAAAAAGGGGGCGTCAACGAAAATATTTCGTCATCGTCTTCGTTAATGAAAACAACGCTGGTCACCTGCAGACGTCACTGCTTCACAAACGCCTTGCTGCAGACACGACTGGGGCGTTGGGGCAAAAATAATCGGACCTTCTGTTCCCACGCTGCTTGAGTTTCTGTCAGATCCTCCGCCCATTTTAACCCCAGGTGATCTCACTTCTGTAGTAAAAGTTTCCACTTCACTCCAGCTCGAACACGAAACCTCAGAACTAACCTATTTTTAGTCGAGCAAAACGGCGTCACCTTTAATCGTTATCTCGCTCCATCTCTTCTGGTGATAAAGATCTGAACAAACGTCTGCTTGGAGCTGCAGGCCTGGTTTTCTCACAGACATGTTCACAGCTTTGGCCAACTTTTCTCTCTCATATTGGACTTTCTTTACTACTGATGGTAAAATGTTGATTAAAACAACCAGTTAACTCATCTACAGCCTCTCTCAGAATGACTTTATGTTAAACGCCACCTCACATGTTTCATTTTCATTCTGACTTAATATTTAAAAATAAGAATCTGGTATTTATAAAGTCTGAGGATTTTTTTTTTTTTAGAACAAATGTGTCCACAGATTATTTTTTCAGCTGCACTTATTTAGCTTCCTGAAAGCTTGTCACAGAAACACAAACATCTTCATGCTTAATCAAACCCACCACAGACCTGAACGGGCTGCTGAGCTAAGCACATTTGATTTGGCTGCAAACAGGCGTCCAGCGCTACGGAGAAGAAGGGTTTCCCATCGTCGGACTAAAGATGTCCGAAAGATGGCAAAACTGTTAAGCCGTGGCCTCGCCCCGCCTCGCTCTGATGGTTCTGATGTTTGTTTTTTTGTAGAACTTTATTTCATTCAACAAACAAAATAAAACAAACAATTAATAAAAGAACAAACAATAATAGAAACAAACAAATAATACAACATCGTTCCGTCAAAAAGACAATCACAATGTAGTCAAATGAAAAGGAGCAGAAAGAGGAATAAAATCTTAACATCTGCCCCCAATTAAAAAAATATATTTAACTAAAAAAAACATACACCATACGAGTAATAAAACTCAATTCACAATATAATTTCAAATAAGC